TATATATATATATATATATATATATATATATATATATATATGTATGTGTGTGTGTGTGTGTGTGTTTAATTGCTCTTTTAGCTACTTTTGCCTGAACCTAACACTGTAAGTGAAACAAGGCAATTCTTGAGTTGCTGTAAATTATGTTATAATACATATTTACTCTCTCATTCCAGAAAACAACAACAACAACAAACAAACAACAACATCCTTCATGATGGACAGACATCATGAACACCACAGCAGCAGCTGTCTTCACTGAAAACATCCTTAAATGATCGTCACTGACATGAGGCCTCTGTCGATGGTTGAAGACGAAGGCTTCACTACAATGATCCACACTTTTAATCCAGGTTACAAAAATCCACACTTTTAATCCAGGTTACAATAATCCACACTTTTAATCCAGGTTATACTCTTCCCTCAAGGCCATATTTACAAAGTAGCTACATATTGTGCAGGTATAAAGATATATTTGTATATATTTTTGTGTACATTCATTTTTTTTAAGCTATTAGACCAACTTTTATTTTTATTATTCAATATTTTACTAACAGAATAGTCAAATAGCAACCTGTTTTTTGTGTGAATTGCTATGTCAGTCAAATGTTCAATTTTGAAATAAAGGGGTGGAAATTAAAACATTTTATTTTTTTTGCCAATTCATTGATTAATCGAAAAAATAATCGCAACATATACATATACATGACGGCCCTCTTCCTTAGAGGGCTGGCAATGGAGGAGGGGGCGTACCAAAGAGTTCATCTTATCACAAGCAGAACTGGTTTGTTCCACTTTGGAGTAAGCTGTTGGGGGAAGAATCAGTTTTGTTGTGTGTTTCCTTGACTGATGAAGCCTTCCGGACCGAAGGCGAAACGTTTCAGCACAAAAAAAAGAAACTGTCCAGATGAGCTGACTGAAAAATGTTGGATAGTATACCTGGATTATTGAGCACGGACTTTGTTCTCTAAAACTAAACTTAATGCGGTCGTCTGCCCCACTGTTTTTAAGTTTCGTTTTTGACATGCCGCACGTTTCTTTTACTTTTGCAGCTTAATAATAATAACTAATAGTTGAGTTTTTCCTGTGACTTATTTGCAGTATGATAAATGGTAGGAGCATAATATACGCTCCCAATGTTTCGTTGGTCTTTCTTTTGTAAATAATAAACAACGTTTTTTTGCGGTTTTATTTATTTATTTATTTATTGCATCTTGAGTTCCTATGACATCATCAACTACTCGAGTTCTACTCAAGTTTTATTATGTTAATGTCAAAGTTTATAAAATATGTAGTCGTTCAACCCCTATTGAGCAGCTATGTGAGCATGTGGGTGTGACAAGGCTAAATGTTTTGGCGGCATGAAGCTTGTGAGCCCGTCAAAAAAAAAAAAAAATATAAATCCATAGATTAGCTGCAGCATTGTATAAGTTCAAAGCGTGTGAAAAAAGCAGTGGCTTATAGTCTGGAAATTACGGTAAATGGACTGAACTGATCTTTAATGTCTTCCATTCCTACAGAATAGCTTAAGAGAATTCAAGTCCTTTAGAGATGATATTTTAGTCTTTTTTAGCCTGGTAAACTTTAGTTATTTCTCCGTGAGGTCCAGAGGAGTTCTTATTTTCAAAGACAATCTGTTTAGTTGTGCTGAAAAAAGTGGGCAACTACTCAAACGTACCTTCAACCTTCTGATTTGTCTGACTTGTTTATTCATTTCTTCTTTATTAACAGGACTTGTGTGAAGTTTTGACAAGTTATATTTATAGAGGACTGCAGGTGTTACCGGGGCTTCTGTGTGTTCTTCCTGTTCTAAATCATGAACAAACAACTCTCTGCACGCTCGAACTTCTGTGAATGTGATTTAATTCAAATGGAAAATAAACTGATCGTGTGCCACTTTCTATCAAACAGTGATGTAGCGAAACCTGTTCTTCGTTTTCAGCATTATCTGCATGTGCAAGCACAGCCAGACAAGAGAGAGGAGCAGAATTCACAAGCATCCCAGGAGTGACAGGCCCCGGGGTATTCAGGGCTGGGTGCGGCTCAAACAGGTTCTGATGTGCTTCACTGCCAGGGCGCTGCAGGAGCTGCACACGTGAGTTCAGGCGTCTTTGTCGTCCCTCGAGTCATTGGCATGTGTAATCAGACAAACATTTCTGGATGTCATTAAGGAAACGAGGCTAAACAAATAAACCTAGGCCAGCGCGAGGAGAAAACAAACAGCATCTGAGAGGAAGCCGAGGCTCTCCGAGAGGTTCAAGCAAAAGTTACTGGTGGAGGTTCAGCACCGAACTCCTGTCACAGCATGTAAAACAAACTGGCAGAGCAATTTTATAATGTTTGTTTGAACTCACTGGGTGTCAGACTGTAAAACTATGTGACTGTAGTACCCGACAATAAGTAAATACAACATTCCACTGTCTCGCTTCTCGTTTTCCTTTTATTTGCTTTCACTTCAACCCAGCTTCCTGCATGTATCACTTTACCTCAGGGAAGGGTTTTCTATAATCTGAACAATCTTTTCAATGTTTGTTTACGGATGTTAACAATACTCACAAAAAATAAAATAAGATCAATTGTCACTCTCTTTGATTCATGTGTTTCACGAAGAAGGCTGCTGTATAGATTATTCAGGTGTTCAAAACATTCTTCCTGTTGTTTTGTATGATCTGCGTCATGTCTTCATTTCATCCAAGGGTGGTAAAGTTAATCGAAGGGCAGGGCCTGTGAGTCACGGCAGTTTTTATTTTTAGCGGGTGATGTAGCAGAGGATGGTTTGGTTCTTACCACAGCGGTCTCGGACAGCTAGATTACGACCTTCCTTCAGGTTGATGTGGAGCAGGAAGG